AGTCATGCGCAGTATATTGTAAACACCACATGTGCATTTTCGCGCCAAAATCAGTTCACACGAAACAAGTAACAACGAACTGGCAAGATGGCATCAATGGCGGCGATGGAACAGTCAACTTTAGGTCAATATTTTACAACAAGAAGAAAAGGTCTTGAAGGTGTCCATCCGGCAAAGCGAAGAAAAGTAGATGTGACTGAGACTGAAAACGAAGTTACCGTCCGGCGCAGTCAACGATCGAAGAGGCAAGTAGCGTCTTCTCAGATAAAGATTTCACGATCTCGTAAAGGTGCTAAAAGTATAAACGCGAAGGGATCCTTGAACGAAGAAAGCGTCCAGACTTCATGCAAAGGTTCTAAAGTTGTCAGCGAAACCACATCTCTGTTTGATGACCACGCTTTTGCAGAAGCTTTGATCGGGAAATTGACCGACGCGCAAAGAAAGCGCAAAATGGCGTCCTCGGCACAAATGGAAGAGGCAGTCCCCAGGGACAAAAGCGAAGTTGAGATTTCAAAAGCTCAACGAAACAAGGACGAGATGGAATCCAAGCCAAAAAGTCGGCGACGAGCAGCGAGATCTTCAAAATCAGCAAAGCAAGCGGATAAAAGTGAGAATTCGAAGATTCCCGAGTCTACCGAGCAAGTTATTTCACTGGTCGATCAAACACCTCAGGAAGCTGATATCCCAGTGGAGAAAGGAACAACAGCGTCCGCCTCCAAAACACCTCCGGTCGTACGAAGAATCGGTGGAGGTGTCAAAGCGAACCCGTGGATAGCAGAACAGGCCAAAATAGTTCTGAGCCGAGGGAGAGAAGCTGTAAATTTGAGCCAGAAAAGTAGAAATAAAGAAGAGAAGCAGATGACTGCGTCAAAGGATAGTGCTTCAGGTGAAATTAAATAAAAATTAAATATAAGCTCTTTAGGTTCTCCACTAACTGACAATTGTAATTATTTTGCCCATGGTAAAAATGATGCGCAAACTAATGTGAGGCTGCAAAGGGTAGCTGGGTATAAGTGGATAATCTTACTGGATTTTTAACAATTTTTCAGTCTCTTTGACTATCCAAAAATGCCCAGGAGTTTAGAATTTGGACAATAAAATCTCAGTCAGGCTCAAATGCCCCACTCATGCCTGCTCTCTTTCACTACAACTTAACATTTATATTAGGTACATTAAACTATATTGTTGGCAGCTCATCAGTGCTGCAGTGTATTAAGTCCAGGCACCACAGTGTGAACTGAAATGACTAGAGGCAATGCCACTTGTGATC